CGCTGTGTCTCTCTGTCAAATAAATAAATAAAATCTTTAATAAATAAATAAATAAATAAATAACCTCTTAAAAATCAATGAGAATAAAAAGACCGACAGCCATTAAACATCTGGACAAAAGGGGAGGACAGTTCATGAAAAAAGATGTACAAATGCTGCTTAAACATATGAAAAGATGTTAAATTTCACTTGTAGTAAGAGAAATACAAATTTAAATACACTGAAATGCCATTTCTCATTTATCAGATTAGCAAAAATTCCAAAGCTTGGGAACACACTCTATTGGCAAGACTGTGGAGAAAAAAGCACTCTCATACATTACTGGTGGGGATAAGAAATGGAGGGAATTTTGAAGTATCTAATAAAGTCACACATTTACCTAGCAACCCTACTGGCAGGAATTTGTCCTGAAGACACACCTCAAACAATATGCAAACATGCACACACATATATATACGGCTACTTAATATCATATTATTTGTAATAGCAAAGTATTGGAGACAGGTTGCATAAATGATGGTTCATCCACACAGTGGAATATTACACAGATGTAAACAAAATTAGGATGTGTCCTATGAATTGACATGAAGCAAACTCCAGGATATACGAAGTGAAAAAAAGGTGATGAAGAATATATAGAGTATACTATCTCTTGTTGAATAGGAAGGGAACAAAAACGTAAATTATGGAGGTATTTATTTTTGCAAAAAGAAACATAGGTATGGCTATGTCTAGCAGATAGGTAAGAAAAGGATGAAAGGCATAAGGAAGGCATCTGAGTTTATGTTTTTATACAGCTTTGATTCCTGAACTAGGTTAATATTTTACATAATCGGAAATAAAAATAAATCAACAAGGATGGGCAAAAAAGTCCTCATACTGAATATAAACAGTGAATTTAACTATATTTACATCAAATTATAACATAATCACACTGAAGAAAATAACCCAAGTAACTTTTTAAAAATATTTGAGAAAGAGCACCTGTGTACGCATACCTGAGCAGGGGAAGAGCAGAGAGAGGAAATCTCAAGCAGACTCCCCTCCGAGCACAGAACTGGATGTGGGGCTCAATTCCACAACCCTGAGATCATGATCTGAACTGAAACCAAGAGTCGGACACTCAAAGAACTGAGCCACCCAGATGCCCCACCCAAGTAACTTTTGAACATAATACTCTATGTATTTTCAGTAGGATACGTTGCAAAAACAAACCAAAGAAGGGGTGCCTGGGTGGCTCAGTCGGTTAGGCATCTGCCTTCGGCTCAGGTCATGATCTCGGGATCCTGGGATGGAGCCCTGGGTTGGGCTCCCTGCTCAGTGGGGAGTCTGCTTCTTACTGGGCCCCTCCCCACCGCTTGTGCTTTCTCACTCTTGCTCAAATAAATAAAATCTTAAAAAAAAAAAACAATGGATTTGTGAACTTTACAAATTTGTAAAGGTTTTTTGCTAGTAGTGATACCAGTGTAACAATTAGGAAGCCATTTGATATGTATTGTAGAATTGAGAAAGTAAAATACTAATGTTGTTGGGAACCAGGGACCTTTCTCATTTTGGTAGTAAAGTAATATAATCATGAAATTGAGGAAAGACAGGAAGAACCCAGTGGTTAAGAATTGGAATTAGAGATAATCAATATGAACTCATGATTTTTTAAAAAAGTATCTTCTAACACATGTCCAGAAATGTATGATAGGAATGGATATTCACATACATACCTGCTTATATGTGCCTGTATATGCTTATATATGCACAAAATATTTCCAGAAGGATACCCTGGAAGGAAACTGTGGCTAATTCTGAGGAGTGGACTGAAGGACTGTACTAGAAAGGTGACTTACTTTTCACTATATTATCCTCTATTGGAATTGATTTTACCAAGTACACATATTACCTATTTAAATACTATGTAATTCTGAGGTGCCTGGGTAGCTCAGTCGGCTAAACATCTGACTCTTGGTTTTGGTTCAAGTCATGATATTGGGGTCATGAGATCAAGTCCTGCATCACGCTCTGCGCTGGGCATGGAGCCTGCTTAAGATTCTCTCTCTCCTCCTCCTTCTGCCCCTCCCCCAGCTCACAGGTGCATCCTCTCAAAAAAAAAAAAAAATTTACTATGTAATTCTTTAATGTAGCCTCCAAAGCAAATACTTTTCAACCTCTGAGCTATACAGAGAACAATCCAAAACAAACATGCCAATCTAACCTTCAGGATTGCTATCTGGCTCATAAGTCCACAGAGTTCCTTGTTGTTTAAAGGTAGCATATTTCTTTTTCAATACTTCCAAGCCTTCTAAAGCCGTACTGTGTTCAGACAATGACTTTAAAAGGGAAATGTTATTTACTAATCCAGAGAGTTCCAAAGGATTTCTAGGACTATTCCAATATTGTTTGCTTTCTCCATTAGTTTCTACTTCAATATGGTCATGGTCTAAACTTCTAATGCTTCGCAAATCTTCAGATTCAGGAATATATGCTTCTGTGTCTTTGGAAATAGGATGCTTTTTTTCCAGAGGGTACAAAGAATTGGAAACTTGGATATTTGATTTATCAAGAGCAATACATTCCTCAGAGTGATTATGATTAATATTTAATTCTTGGATACTGATGTTGCTGCTTGAAGTTGACAGTAAAACCTGTTCATCATTTTTGTCTAAGTTACTTCCCATAATAAAAGTCTGAGGCTCAGTCTGTTCTGAGAATAGGCTATTTTCAGGAGTCTGATTAGTGGCTATGTTTATACAAGGAGTATGTAAATTCAAGCTTATACCTTTAGATTTATTCAGTAGTGAAGCAATATCATAGTTAATTCTGACTTTTTGAATAGATTTATTAGCATTTTCATTATTATCTATAAATACATTATCAGTTCCCTCTAAAGATGAGTCAAAACTGCTTAATGTGTCACTACACTCTTCTATTTCTTTTCTAATGTTTCCAGCTTTCCAAGGTCCTGTGTCAACACCTACACAAGCTTTATCACAAAACTGTGATAGCAGAGTCTCTTTAATAGGAAATGTCTCTGTAGGTTTATCCCTGATAGATGTTAAAAGAGACAAATGTTCACTGCCAACTTTCTTACAGCTTATATCTTCACATCTCTTCTGAACACCTGAACTGCTGTCATTAACCAAAGCTTCTTCTACCCAACCCTCTGAATCCTGGGAAATTTTGTTGTCTTCCTGTGATTCCTCCTCAGTGTCGCTGGTTTCAAAATTGTTCAGATTAAAAGTCACCTCCACAAGTGGCTGTATTACATTACTCATAGGTTCAGGAATACTATTAAGACTTCCATTATCAGTATTACTTTTAAAAAGCATGTTGGTAAAGTCATCAGAGAGCCTAGAATTGTTGCTTATAGAAGACTCCGTTCGCAGATGTTCAGATTCTGGCAGGACTGACATCAGCTGTTTATATTTTTTTTCTGGTGTTCCACATAGATTTATCTCCTGAGCATTTTCTCTAATGAGAATTGATCCTTTTAGACACATCTGGTCATTCTGTCTAACAGATATTTTATTATTTTTTTGAATGTCAGATTCTGATAATAAGCCATCACATTCCACACTACTACAGGTAACTGGTAAGCTGTTGCTTTTACAGAATGAGGGAATTTCTAATTTTACTTCCTGATCCAAAGATTGATCATTATCATCTACTGGCTTGTCTTCATTATACTTTTTACCCTTTTCAGCACATGTTTCAAAGAACTGTTTCCTTTCTTGTACCAAAAGGTCTTTCAAATTTAAATTTGTATTATCTCCCTGGACCTTGGGTTTCCTTTCTATATTATTTCCATCTTCAGTAGAAGAATGTACAGGTGAACTCTGTGAGGATAAATACATGGCCCATCGGCTTTTATTTCTCATGATATTTTCTGATTGATGCTGGTGGTGTAAACTGTCTGTGCTCTTCTTCACCTCAGCACACTCTTCTTGTTCAGTTATGCACTTTGGTTTAGTAGGAATGTTTTCATTTCCTTGTAGTTGTATCTGAGGGAGATGTTCTGCAATCCCAGAATTTAGTTCTTTACACACACCAGTTGATTTGGACTTCAGAAGAGCTAATATCTGTGCTTTGCTTCTGATGTTTTGTGAAACTCCTAAACAGTGAGATGTCAAACCATCTTTTTTTATGGCCTCATTGGTCAGTACAGAATCTGAATGCTTATTTACAGAATAGACAGGAGAGCAAAAATAATTTTCTTCACATAGCATTTCTGGGTTATTCTTGAAGGATGGAGTAGAGACAATAGAAGAAAAATGTAAGCCATTTGTCTCTCTGTTCTTGTAAGTGATACTCTTCTCAGGGTCTGTTGGCATATTATTTATATCTTTCTTACCAGCAGTAGAAAACAAAGGAGGTGTGCTGTAGAAGGGAGAGAGAAAAATAGGACCAGGTTTCTTAGCCTCAAGTGATGCAGCTGATTCACCATTTTCTGTAATAATCATTTTCTTTGGCACTTGACGTGGTCCTCGAAAACCCTAAAAATATTAAAACAATTATTAGCTGTTCCATTATCTATAAAGAACTTTGATATGAACTGGCTAAAAAAAAAAGAAAAAGGAGTATGTCTGTTTTGTAAGGTAAAGTAATAAAGATATAAAATTTACAAGATTAAAATGTAAACACTCATTTGTATTAAGATTTTTCTAGTTAGGGTTTACTTCCTCTCCACCTAAACATATATTATGAAGTACCATTTTAATGACAGAGTGCAATAGTTTCAAATTCACTACTTCTTGAAACAATATTATAAATACATATTGATTTATTATTTTCAACAGAGAAACTTACAGTAAACTTCCTTTTTAAACCAGCAGGCTGACATCCAAGGGACCGGTCAGAGGATATAAATCTCCTTGGATTTAACTCCGGTGCTTCTTTAATGACATCCTGTTTAATAGCTATGCTCCCAGCAACTTTAACCTCCTCAACTGTGATTAAGTATCGATCACTTTCTAAGTCATCTCCAGGCTTCACCTAAATTTTAAAGAATAAATTTTAAAAAACAAATTTTAAAAAATAAATTTAAAATCATATACATCTAATTATTTAATTATGTGTTCTAATAGGTCATTAGCACTAGCAAGACACAATAGATAATAATTGTTAAATGTATGAATCAATACCTAAATCTTCATTTATTATTATAGACTAGTTGTCAAATAAGCACAAAAAGGATAATAATATAGCAAAAATTTTTCATTAATTTGTTTATTCAATAACACATATATGAGACCCTTTGTTGCATGCAGGAGGTACAAAGACAAGCAAGACAAATATGCCCCTTCTCAAGGAGTTCACTAAGAACCCATACAACTAAATGTAATTTTTAAAATTAGAGGTATCAGGGCACCTGGGTGGCTCAGTCGTTAAGCGTCTGCCTTTGGCTCAGGTCATGATCCCAGGGTCCTGGGATCAAGCCCTGCATCGGGCTCCCTGCTCCGCAAGAAGCCTGCTTCTCCCTCTCCGACTCCCCCTCCTTGTGTTCCCTCTCTCTCTGTCAAATAAAAATAATAATAAT